TTCATAGCCCTGTAGGTAATTCCATCAGCCATTCATACAATCAGCTTTATTCATTTTTGGAACATAGAGAACTGATTCAACAAGGTTCCAAACATTCATGAATTCTGGCCATACACCACTGTTTTTTTTTAAGATTAATTTTTGTTTAAATTAAAAACAATCTTAATACACCACTGTTTTAAGAACTCCTGACACTGGCCTTACACCTTCAGGCAACAGAAACTCCTTTCTAAAGGACTGGAACCATGTGGTTTTTAAATTTTATTTTATGTGAATGAGTGTTTTGCTTGCATGCATGTATGTTCATCAAGTGCATGCTTTATTCCCAATGACACCAAAGGAGGGAGTCAGATCCCTTAACTGATGGTACAAATGTAGCTGCTGGGACCGAAGCCCACAGCAATGCTCTTGACCCCTGAGCCATTACTCCAGCCCCAATGATGAAATTTTAATACAAGCTTAATACAAATTTATTGTGGAATAATCTTTTTGTACACTGTGAAGATGTGTTTTTACCAAGGTGCCTTCTGATTGGTTTAATAAGGAGCCGAATGGCCAATAGCTAGGCAGGAAGAGGTTACCCAGGACTTGTTGGTAGAGAGAAAAGAAGATATGACTCTAGGTGGGGAGAGATGCCAGAGAAGATGGAGGAGAGGAAGCAGAACATGCAGGGGAGAAGTAAAAGCCATAAGCCACGTGGCAGCATGTAGATTAATGGAAATAGGTAATTTAAGCTATAAAAGCTGGTTAGAGTTCTCTAACTAGAACAAATAAATAAATAAATAAATAAATAAATAAATAAATAAAGCTGGTTAGAAACAAGCCTAAGCTAAGACTGAGTTTTCATAATTAATAATAAGTCTGGGTCATGATTTTGGGGCTAGCAGTTCAAGAAAGCCTGCTACAAAAGTTTGGAGTCAAAATGTGTTTAAATCATATGTAATATTATATCTGATCATTTAACATCAATTCTACCTTATTGGTCTTAAAATAATTTAAAAGATAGAGAATGGAAGAAACATACAAGATAGCTTATATGTAATTAAGTAATACTTTTTTTTAAACCAACTTAAATGTAGATCTCCCTTTAAAGGAAAGAAAACAAATCCTTTGTTGATCTATTAACCACCGCCCTGCTTGTTGATCTACTAAATCATTTTCATTATAGTGTAAAAATACACCAACATAAACCTGAGACACATGCCTGCCTATCTAGACATATAAGCTACAGCATACCCACAAGTGAAATATAAAGCTACAAAGCCAAATAACATTTAATGTAACACTTGACATTATTTTCCTGAAGGCCTTCCTGCACTGTAGTGTGGAAAGAAACCCAAACATTCAATCCCTGTGAAATAAGAACATAAATGATGAAATCTATGACTAACATAAAACACCCTTCTGGCTGTCAGAAGACCCTAAAATGAAGTGGGGCTCCTGTACAAACTGTGACCACCTAGTAGCTCTCCTGTTTCCATAGATTCTGCTAAGTCTCCCTGTCTTCACTCTCCCTAAAGGGCAGGCCTGGCTCTATTAGTTACGTAGTGAGCCTTGGGCAGAGTGCACATACGTGGCCTGGTGATGGGGAGGAGGAAGCAAGGGTGCTGTAAGGCAGGGGAGACTGCAGAAAGAAATGCTGGCTTCTGCAGAGCACCCTTAGGTGGAGCTTCTGATCACCATGCCCAGAAATCTTCTTCTTCTTCTTCTTCTTCTTCTTCTTCTTCTTCTTCTTCTTCTTCTTCTTCTTCTTCTGTGTGGCTCTGGCTGTCCTGGAACTTGTCTGTAGGCCAGTATGGCTTTGAACTCATGGAAATCCACTTACCTCTGCCTCCCAGTGTAGGGATCAAAGTGGTTAGCCACTACCACCTGCCTCAGCAATGCTTATGCTTGCCTAGACAGGAAGCATTACACACACACACAAAGCAACAACTTTGACTTCCTAAGAGTTTTCTGCTGGCCATTCTGATGCATCTAGGGTGGATCTGGGGGAATCTGTTTCTGTTTAGCAGGCAATGTCATTCTAGGTACTATGCAACTTTTCTAAAAAACAAAATAAGGAACTTTCAGAATTCTATGTAGGTCACAATCATATCCAGTCCAGAGTCTATGGAATGCTGTAATGCACGGAGACAGTGGTTCAGGAAAACATTTGCAGAGACTAGAAAAAAAAAGGCAAGTACAATTCCACAGAACATTTCCACATTGTTGTCTTGAGAGCATTAGGTGCACCTTAAGTCCTTGTTCAGGTTTCTCAGGGTATGCATAGGCAGTAAGACCAGTGCCTTGCCACCAAGGCAGTAAATAGGGACTGGACAAAACTGTTCTCCTGCCACCTTGTGGCAGAATTGTGTCATTACTGAAGACAGGTTGACGTCAAATTGATTCAACCAATACTAACTTGGAAAAACTTCAAGAACCATTTAACACTCACACCACTTCCCCTTAAAAAAAAGAATCAAGCTAGGAATTGTGGCATATGTTTGCATTACCAGCACTTTTAGGGCTGAGGTAGAAAGCCGGTAAGTTCAAGACCAACCTAGGTTAGGTAGTCAGTCGGTGGTCAGCTTGACACAAATGATGAAATTTTCAGCAGAAAGAGAGACATCTGGGCATGGTGATTCATGTCAATGATGCCAGTATTCAGGAGGTTAACACACATGTTTGAGGTCAACCTCATGGTGTTTGAGGGTACATGGTGAATTTCCCTCCAGTCTAGGGTACAGTGTGAGGCTCTGTATCAAAATCAAACAACAACAAAAAAAATCCCTCCAATAAATGAAAATATTACTATTCTATTTAAATTACAATATTAAGAAAAATGACAAGACATATACAAGTGGAATCATACGAGACTAACATTTAGATTAGTGGTCTAAAGATTATCCTCCATTAAGTTGTTAGGCATCATCCATTCAGGTGAAGTCCTTAATGTTAAAGAAAAAGGCTGGTGGATACCTTGTCCTTTTCTAGCAGGAGAGAATTCCACCAGTGGACTGTCTTTGGACTCCAATTGCATCCATTTCCTGGGCTGCAAAATTTCAACTAACCCTCCCTCCCTCCCTCCCTCCCTCTCTCTCTCTCTCTCTCTCTCTCTCTCTCTCTGTATGTGTGTGTGTGATCTTGAAGAAAATCCTGACACGTGTGAAGGTGGCAGAAAACTTACTAGAAGTTTTGAAAATGATAACTGCAGCAGTGGCTGGGAAAAAAAAAGGTCACTCATAGGGTAAGAATTTAAAATTTCAAGAAAAGTTTGTTCTCAGTATTTTCTCTAGCACTCTAAAGTTAGAGTCAGAGGTGACTTGGTTGGGTTGATCTGATTCCATTTTCCTGAGTCTCTTCAAGTATTACAACTCCAGTTTGCTGGCTATGTTCTTAAGAATGACAAATGCTAGTTTCAGTCCTCACCCAAGAGCCCTGGAAGAAGACTGATGAAAAGACAGAAACCGGGTGGGCAGCCCAGGACAGAGACCTGAAGCAGCAGCCCCTTGATTCTCTGGCCAGGAATGGCAGAGGGGAGCTTCTGTTTCTGATTTCCTCCTAAATAAGCACCTGTGCATGGAGGCTATACCTGAGGGTAGGAACCGAAACTCCAGTGAAGACATTAATCACTTGTGTCTAACAGCTTTGGAAGTGATCTCTATATTTTCATGCGGAAAGTGACTTATAACTATCCCCAACATTAGCCATCGCTTGTTATTTAGTGGTCTTTTCAACAGGTGGGCCAAGGAAACAATTTTCAGCCTTCTACTTCACCAAATGGGAGTGTGAAGTCCATTTACAGACAATTTCCTCTGGACCAGGTAGGGTACTGTATTCCAAGACAGCATGAGTTGTCCATGGTTGACCTTCTCATGCATAGTACATCAAGTACAGGAACACACCACAATCTTCATACTACCAGAAATTCAGTGTGGATTCTGGTTTTATCCAAACATAACATACATTTTTTTTTCCAAAGGTACAGCAATCATTCTTCCATTCCTCGACCTTTATCCAACATCACTGAGTAATTTGTCACAATTTTGGAAGCTGGGCAGTTTTTCACGAGCAGGTTAGATTATCATTCTATTATTAAAATGCATTTAGTATAATTGAATGGGAAATAGTTTTACTAACTTAAAAAAAACAACTTTTAATTAGCCTAAAGTACACTGGCACTGGTCTGACAATATGGCTCAGAGGGTAAAGGCGTTTGCCGACCTGAGTTTAGTTCTTGAAACCCATGCTATGTAGTAACACCCACTCCCGAAAGTTGCCCACTGACCTCTGTGTGGACACGAACACATACACTAATCTTGCACAAATATATTAATCGAAAAAGTATATCTACGACTGGTACCGAGATTACAGAGTACTAATTGATTTTTTTCTTTTTTTCTCAAGACAGGGTTTCTTTGTGTGACAGTCCTAGCTGTCCTGGAACTTATTCTGTAGACCAGGATAGCCTAGAACTCAAGACAGCCACCTGTTTCTGCCTCCCGAGGGCTGGGATTATAGGCGTGCGCCACAAACGCCCGTTAGAATGTCCCTGAAAGGAATCAAACAAGACCAGAAATCGGTCAAATCCCTTGTTTTTTTTTTTTTTGCAGAACCCTTCATCGACTTTAAAAAAAAAAAAAAAAAAAAGTTCTTTCAGGCGTTTGAGCTTGCCCCTCCGGAGATTGACAGGACGATCAGCTAATCGGCAGTTTGGACGAGTTATGACCGACTCAATAACAGATAACCTAATAAAGCGCTTTTCGCTAGTAATAATAACGGGCTTCTAAGGCACAGACCGACAGGCTAACAAAGGGCGGAAGCTCTCCGACTGGCGTTGAAAAGGCTGGGTCACTTCAGGTCTGAAGCCTGGACCAGGTCCCGCCCCTCTCAGACGTCGCTGAGAAGGCGGTGCCCACTCAGCCCTCTTTGCGCCCTGCTCACTCGTCACTTCCGCCAGGCGGCCTTCACGCGTCACTTCCGCCCGCTCCCTCTGGTAGTGCAAAGGGCCAGTTGAAGCAACTTCCTTTTCTTTTTCCCTACTTCCTCTCTCCGCCTCCGCCTCCGTGAGGCTCATTCCCTCTCACAGCAGGTCAGAAGTGAGGGATGGGATTCCCCCTCACAGTCCGAAGTGAATAACCGCTGGGAGCTGCGCGCCCCGCCGTGAGCTGCGGGAGCCCAGGTTCGCTCTGGCGTCGGGCGCTCCCGGGCTGTGATGGAGGGGCATCCCTCAGGCGGACTCCCGGGTCCCTCTTCCAGGCCTGTAGCTAGCTAGCCACGCCGGAGGCTGCTGCGTTCGTTGGCCGCTTTTTAGTCAAGTTGGGCTCCCTGCTCAGCTCCCGTCTCCTCTCTTTGCAGGCGAGGTTCGACTCAGATTGCTGCTTGCCACCGATGCCTTGTCCTGGAGCTTGAATCGGAAGCCTGCCCGGAGTAGTTTGGTGATGGCCGGGTTTCTCCCGAAAGGACTTTAGCATCCATTCTGTCTCCTGTGAACCTCGGAACCCGAGTCAGGTAGGGTATACTAAAAGTATACCTCTTTTGTACAGGTGAAGAAACGGGAATTGTTGGCAAGGGCGGTCTCTGAAGGCAGCTCGGCTCCCCAAAACGAAGAGAGCGTTTAGAAGGAACTGTAAAGAGAACGCTTGCGTTTCTTGGGTGCATAGTTTTTATTTGACATTACGATACGTTATTTAGATAGTTATGTCATCTGTCGTTGCAGTTAAGTCTAGCAAGCATATTGTTATTCTTGGTTTAGGAAGCAAGTTTCGAGATAACTGACTTGTTTAGGATTAATGACTTAGTACACATTTCCCACATCTCTTTCACCTCTGAGACTCCAAACACGTCAACGTTAACTTCTGTCGTAAATGAATTGTGCTTCTCCTTATTTTTCTTTGTTTCTCAGGAAGTGAAGAGCCCCAAAACTTATTCCGTTTCTTCATTCTTTGACTATTATTTCTTATTAGCATCTTATGTAGAAATTTACAATCCTGTCAATCCAGTGCCCGTTTCTCACCGATCCCCATCCCCTCTGGATTTTGGATTGGTGCTGCTAGAGGTGGAATAACTTGCTAGTTTTTATACATAGAACGCTCTATACTGTGGCTTACTTGTTTATCTTATTTCAGTGTTCATGTTTTTTTTTTTTTTCCACTCAGAAAAGCGACTGCCATCTTACTCCAAGATGTCAGGGATTGGAAATAAACGAGCTGCTGGAGAGCCAGGCACATCTGTGCCTCCAGAGAAAAAGACAGCTGTTGAAGATTCAGGAACCACAGTGGAAACAATTAAGCTAGGGGGTGTCTCTTCAACGGTATGAGAAACAGTGCTTGGCTTCTGTCAGTTGTAACCTGAAAATAAGTTATTTGTGATACTTTGTGAATTAAAGGGGAGGGATTAGAATAGGGAAATAGGTGAAATGATGTGATGGTCTGTTTTTGAAGTGAGGTATGTCGATGTTTGATCTGTATTTGCAAGGTGTTCCTCTGTGTTCTTCTGAGAGTCTGCTGGCTACTATAGTCTTTGTTATAGTAATTAGCATTTTTCATTTACTGAAAATTTGGTGCCATGTTCTTCGAGGCACTCTAGCCTTTGAGAGTGCTGGTGCTGAATGTGAGTCAAATCAGAGGCCTGGATTATCTGCCCTGTGTCCATGTTTCTTTGTCTAATGAGTCTGTAATACCTGTGTGTGATATTGGATTATGATGGAGACAAAATGGGATTCTCTGTAAAGAGTTAAAACATTGCTTTTAACATAATCAGTACTCCATAAGTGTGAGCTATTAGTCGTTATTGGGCTAGATATGTAATAGACAATAAAGTGTTGTTTCTTTACTGGATAGTAATGTTGTCTAGAAGATTCTGTATTTGGCTTCGTCAAGGGGATATAGTGTACAGACACTTGCCGATTTGTATTTCTTGTATATATTGATGCTGAAGTTCAGCGAAGTTGATTTTGTTTTTCAGTCAGAATAAGATCTTGCTTAATAAATTGTTAATGAAATGTCATTTAGGCAGATTCCTTGGGTTCTAGTACTCCATCCTGCTGCCAGAATTTGAACATTTTAGCAGCATTTATTTGTGCACCCTAAATGCATTTTTGTCAATCTAAGTATTTATTTAGCATCTGTTATTGCTGGTTGCTGTGCTTTACAGCCCGTACGTGGACCTCAGTTTCCAGGGAGGTAATGACAAGAGAATGGGTTGATAGAAGGAAAGCAGAACACAAATCCCTGCTTGGACTTCAGCCTGAGGGCAACAAGGAGAGCCTGGAAGCTCCTGTAGGATCATAGATTATCATGTGTGCACCTCTTCTTTCTTACTCCTTCACTCCCACCCCTGACAGTCTAACCTTTCCAAAGGTAAAGATCTGCTTCCTACCTCTTTTGAAGGTAATAACTCCTTTTATGCACTTTTGAAGTTTTTATTGTGAGCTAGCTGAGGTTTAGAGACAGGAAAAGTGAGAATTCAATGTACCCTTGAGTTGTGAACTCTGGCAGTATGAATGGAGCTGTCCACTCCAGCTGTTCTAAACCTGGCTGCCTGACAAAACAGCACAGAAATATTTGCTACAAACAGAATGACATTAGAGTTGTCCAAATGAGCGATCACTGTGAAATGGATCAGGGAGGTGACATAGATGGAATTCCTGACAGATTGGATGAAGCACATGAAACAGGGAAGGTCAGTGTAGGATTTGAGTGAATAAAGAGTGGTGTTTAGGAGATAGAAGCCAGTGTTCTTGATACTGTTAGGTTAGACAGTGAACTTGCTAAGTGGTAGAGCCTCAACATTGTATTACTTTGTGGAGGTTTGTATTAATGGAACAGTGAGATGGTGAGCATGAAAGTCTACCATAGTTGGTGTTTCCTTACATGATCAGACACCTGTTCCTTTATTTCTTCTGCTTTCCCCTTACCTAATTATTAGTTGTGAGATTTCTTTGTGTGTGTGTATGTATCTGGGCATGTGCGTGTATATGTGGAAGCCAAGTGGTCTTCCTCAGTTGCCATCGACCTTGGTTTTTTTTTTACAAGTTCTCTTACTTGGCCTGGAACTCACCAATTAGGTAAGACTGGTTGGCCAGCTATCCTCAGCAATCTACCTGTCTCTACCTTCCCTGTGCTGGGATTGCAGCATGTGCCACCATGTCTGACTTCTAAGAAGTAGACCCTGGGGATCAAGTTTAGGTGTTCATGCTTGTGTGACAAGCCTGTCATAGCTGAGCTGTGTCTTCAGCCCTAGTTAAGTTTTGTGTATTTATAGAAAAAAGCTAATGAACTATTATGAGCTTGTTGAGTTCAACAGCTCATTTGTCTAATTTCTTTGTGGAGACTAATTCTGGCTTCCTGGGCAGGAGGAGTTAGACATTCGAACACTGCAATCCAAAAATCGTAAGCTAGCAGAAATGCTGGACCAGAGACAGGCCATTGAAGATGAGCTTCGGGAACACATTGAAAAACTGGAGCGACGCCAGGCCACTGACGATGCCTCACTGTTGATTGTGAACCGGTACTGGAGCCAGGTAGCTACTTTGTATGTTCACCCAGATTCATATTAGCATTTTCATCCTTTCTGCTCTTTGTTTCTCAACCTTTGCCCCCCCCTTTCTTTTGTTAACATACGTATTCTTCTCCAGTTTGATGAAAACATCCGTATCATCCTTAAACGTTATGATCTGGACCAGGGTTTGGGAGACCTACTCACAGAAAGGAAAGCCCTGGTTGTGCCAGAACCAGAGCCTGACTCTGATAGCAATCAGGAGCGCAAAGATGACCGTGAGAGAGGCAAGTGTTGGCAAGGAATTCTGCCATTGCATTAGTTGCCTGGGTACTGAGTTCGAGCTTTGCTGTGAGGCTCTCCAGTTGAGGGGGATGGTAGATTTTGCTATTTTTAGCTTTATAATTTGGGATCTTCTTTTTCTCTCCCTGTGTCTTTGTGAGGAATTCTGTAACTGCCTTAGTTACTTTAGTTTTTAAAGTTGAACTTTGCTTTTAAGGCTTCCCATTTGAAGGAAAATTTGCTATTTACAGACTTATAATTTTGGGGGGGCTTATTTTTCTTCCCATGTTCTCAGGGGAAGGTCAAGAGCCAGCTTTCTCTTTCCTTGCTACCTTGGCCAGTAGTTCCAGTGAAGAGATGGAATCGCAGCTTCAGGAGCGTGTGGAGTCCTCCCGCCGTGCTGTGGCCCAGATTGTGACAGTCTATGATAAATTGCAAGAAAAAGTGGAACTCTTATCCCGGAAACTGAACAGTGGAGGTGAGGAGAGAATCTGGAGACTGGGAGCCTTGGGGAGGGGAACAACTCAGTTCTGTGAGGCTGAGGGTGCAGCTTAGTGGTAGAATGTGGCTAGTATACAGTAGACCCTGGCTTCTATTCCAGCACCAAAAAGCAGAAAAGAAGAGAACTCAGCTTAAATTTCTTGGAGTTTTAAATCCTATGATTCTCAGTGTAATTAGCATGATGTGCTAACTATACATTTTTATAAGTAACAGAATTAGTATTGACTCTTCTGACTTCAGAAGGTGAGTTTTCATGTGTTCTTTTATTGTTGATGTTCTTCAAGAGAGTTAGATGGGGTAGTAAAGTATTACTCCAGTGTTTGAAGAGAGAGATAGAATAGGAAACCAATGGATGGGAAGGTCTTAAAATAAAATTACCATTTGGAATACTTATTATTATTGAGTTTTAATATAGAAATTATTTTCAGACAGTATAGAGAGTGTACTAAAATGACTAAAGGTCTATAGTCATTGGTGACCGATCTCTATCTCAAATGCAGATAAAATGCCTTGATTTAAAGGAGTTAGATTTATGGCTTACTTATTAATTACTAAGCACTTATTGAATTTTAGGGCTTGTTTTCAGAACTTAAGATGGAAAAAATGAAAATTTAGGCACTAGTCCTTAACTCAGGTTGACTAAGAGTTACCTTTTATTTATTTTGCCATGCCCATGGAGATTCTTAATTAGTAGGTTTGGGTTGGATCCCAGGGAATTATCTAACTTAAAAGTTTTACAAGTGATTTTAGTGGGCAGTCCTAGATGGAAACTGGAAACCCTCGACTTGACTGACCTGTTCTATATGGTTTCTGAGAGCAATGGCATCAGGTAGTGTGGGAACATATTCCCCTTAACAACTGTAAAGGATAATGTATGCCCTGAGAATAATTGGTTTATATATAACATTTAGATTGAACTGTAATAGATGTGAATCTAATTTTAACACATTAATTAGAGTATTAAATACTAAAGATGTAAATTGTATTGTGGTGATATATTACTTATGATTTATTACAGCTTGCCTGAGGATTCAGAAAGCAAAGTCAGCCTCAAGCTATAGAGATCAGGCAGTGGTGTTACACACTTTTAATCCCAGTGGCCAGAAACTAGGAGGTCGTGGTACACACCTTTAACCCTAGGACTCAGGACTAAGAGGTAGACAGATCTCTGTGAGTCTAAGGCCACCCAGATCTATACAAGATTGATCCAGTCCTAAAGAGAAACAGCTCACAAAAACATGATCTCAGCACCTGGGATCACACACCTTTAATCCCAGCATTAGGGAGGTATCTAAGACAGGAGCAAGGTCTAAGTATCAGGCATTCATTCTCTAGCCACATTGAGGATAGGAGTCATTCATTCTCCAGGCACATTAAGGATAGGAAGACATTCAGTCTCAGGATTCTCCAGCCATGCTGAGGAGACGCAGCAGGATCAGCCCATTCAACCTGAGGTAGTGGTAAGAGCTAGTAGCCAGCTACTTTGCTTTTCTGATTTTCAGCTTGAGGTTTGAACCCCAATATCAGTCTCTGGAACATTTATTTTCCAAGCAGCATTGTATATTTGTAAATAATGTGTACATTGTATTCCGAGAATAATTGGTTTCATTTGTAGGATTTTAGATTGAACTAAATAGTTGTGACTAATTTTTAACACATGCATTCAGCATAATAAACTCTAAAGGTGTAGCTTGTGCATTTGTAAATATTCTGTATAGTTTTTATTTCAAGCTTCAGTGTTACAGTTAACATAACATTGTGGTAAGTGACTGCTCTGTTTTAGTTGTTCCTCATGATTTTATGTTATTATTTGAAGATTAAAAATTCTGCTTCCTGTCTCCTCATCCCAATAGATGCTTCATGTTGGTATTAGCTGCTAGTAGGAATTTGTGATTGCCTTAAAGAAAGAATAAAATTGTGTTGCTTTAATTTTGACACTGCTTAGAAATCGTGTCTATTCTAAGTTGTAATGTGTCTGTTCTTGGTGATAGAAATTGTGTCTGAATAAAATTATGTCCTTCACGTATTTGCTGAAGGCATTTGTCTTAACAGAAAGAGGTGAGGGTAGGTGATGGTCCAGGTTGACTCGTGTACATAACGAATTTATTATCTGTGAGCTAAAAAACCCTCAGTTACTTTCTGTCATTCTGGGGACAGTGAGGTGAGCTGGCAGGTCAGTGCTTGCATGCAGTAGACAGTTTTAAAGCTTAGACTATCAATGCTAAACTAAAGTGCAGTCCTTCTTTCTCAGATAACCTGATAGTGGAGGAAGCGGTGCAGGAGCTGAACTCCTTCCTTGCACAAGAGAATGTGAGGCTGCAGGAGTTGACAGACCTCCTTCAGGAGAAGCATCACACCATGTCTCAGGAGGTACTTGACCAGAAAGGAGTGACAGTCTTTCTTAGTAGCTCTGGCTGACATCAAGTCAGAATTAGGAGAACTTTGAGAGGTCACTTCATTCTAGAGGGTATACTTTGATATTGAAGAGAGTATGAGACAATAGCAGTCAACTCCGAGAGATCAAAGTCTGTGAAAAAGTTAAAGGAAGAAAATAATTGAATAATTTCTCAGGTCTCTGTGTAATAGATAGTTCCGGATCTTCATCATTGGGAAAAAATGTCACAACATAACAAAAATTGTAAATCCCTAAATAATTCACTGCTCTAAATATAAAAGACTGAGAATGATGGCACTGAGGCAAGCCAGGTGAAAGTTCAGCAGAGAGTGGGGTAAGGGAACTCTTCTGCATTGGTGATGCCACAGGAATGTGGGGATGTGAGTTTTCACTCCAGACCAGGCCACAAATTGTTCCATGACTAACCCATGGTAGGATTTGGACATTTATCTACATAAAATGCTTATGAGAAAGCATGGGTGATTCTTCTCATGCTTCTAATTATTTTGTTACTCAAATGATTGTGTGTTGAAATTTGACCTACCTTGGTTCAGCTACCAAACTTTCATGCTAAATAGTTGCTCTTCGCTTGGTACCCAACATTTAAGCACTTTATGAAGATAACTGGTGAGGAAATAATTGAAAAATTAGTGAGCAATCAGAGAGCAGGTGATTAGAAAATGTGATTTGCCAATGAATCTGTTTAATCTCAGAGCCATTGTTCCCTGCTTGTGTCCTGAGCTCTAGTGTCATGTTCTTCACTTGGCTGGCTATGTGAGCATTATTTGTGGAGTTAATAAAACTTGGATGCTCATGAATCTTCAAAGTGATTACAGTTTAGCAGCATTTACAAATAAACGGGAGTGTCATGTTTTAGGGCAGTAACTAGGTATTAACAAGATGGAAAGGTTTCCTTTTGAGGCATTTCCTAAATTTCAGCAATAGTAAACAAGGGCAGCTTTCTCTTGCTCGCTAGGTTCCCGTGTAGAACCAGCTCTCATTGCTGGTTCTTGATGTTGCCTGTCAGCTGGGAGTGTACCTTAGTTGCCAGCTGGAGGACCTGCAGGGTTCTTAAATGGCAGCTGACCTCCTACCTTGAGTGTTCCAAGAAACAAAATCGACCCTGTGTGATCTCCCTGGTGTAGCCTCAGAGTTACACAGTATTATTTTTGCTGGCCACTAAAGTTGTTCAGGATCCAGGGGAGGAACAGATCCCTCTCTTAATAGGAGAACTTTCAGACAAAAATAACCTAAAGGTATATAGAAAGTAATGGGAATGTGGAGCAGTTTTGTAATTAAGATGCTAAGTATCACTAGCTGGTTTATAGCTCCTTAGGAGAATTGGTCTGGGAAGATGGCTCAGTGGATTCAGCACTTGTCATGCAAAGTTGAGATTCCCCAGAATCTACTTAAAGCTGAATGCAGTAATGTGGATCCCTAATTCTAATACTCCAGTGAGATGGGAGGTGGAGACTGGAGATACCTGCAAGTGACATATGACAAGAAATCCTGTCTCAAACAAGATGGAAGGCAAGGAATTATGTGGTTGTTCATCTCCATTTAACAAGTTGTGGCACATGTATACCTGGACATGCACGCATGCGTACATACACACCACACATGCTCACACTCACAAAGTTTCCATTTTTTTCTATGACGATTATCATTTCGGGATATGTAGAGAGAGAAATGAAAAAGTTGGTAGTAAGAGATGTTACTGGTTTGAATTCATGTTTTCTAAAATATTTGATACCAGATTTTTTTTTTTTAATCTTCATTTTCTGATTAATTTGTGGTCTGTGTAGGGAAATGATGCTTTTCATGGGTAGAGAGATTATTGAATTTTAAGTGGTCTTGCCCTCATGTGAAAGTTCTTATAATTGCTTGTTTTCATGATTGTAAAAGTCTAAAAACTGTTCAACTCTTATGAGTTTATTTTTTATACTTGGGTGCTGAATAATTCTTTTCTGTAACTGTATATGAGCAAAGGCTAGTTTTGTGGAATTTGGAACTTTTTTTCCTCCAGAGACAGAGTTTCTCTGTGTAGCTTTGGAGGCTGTCCTGGAACTTGCTCTGTAGCCCAGGCTGGTCTTGAACTCACAGAGATCCACCTGCTTCTTCCTTCCAAGTGCTGGGACTAAAGGTATATACTACCACTGCCCGGCTAATTTGGAGCTTTTTTGACTTGATCTTTTTTTGTTGTTTCTGAATGCCTGTCCTTGGGATGTAGTTCTGTAAGCTGCAGGGTAAAGTAGAGACAGCCGAGTCACGGGTGTCTGTCTTGGAGTCCATGATTGATGACCTGCAGTGGGATATTGACAAAATTCGAAAGAGAGAACAGCGGCTCAACCGACATTTGGCTGAAGTCCTAGAACGGGTCAGTGCTATTTTATAAAGGCTTTTACAATTATTTATAAATGTATTTTTTATTTATGTGTGTGCATGTGTGTGTGAGAGAGAAGGGAATATATGCCATATGTGTGCCACTGACTCTAGAGGCCAGAAGAGGGCATTGGGTCTGCTGTAGCTTGTGTTGCATAGGGTTGAGTCTCCAAGAGTGGATGCACTGAGTTTCCCAGCTGGGCTCCTCTACAAGAGCAGCAAGTGTTTTTAACAGTTCAGCCATTATCTTTCTACCCTCTGGCTTTTTCCCCCCCAAGAAAATAGTCTTTCCTTTTTCTTTGAGACATTCATACATGTTTACAATGTGTTTTTATCCTGTCCATCCTCCATACAGTTCTTCTAGAACTCCTCTCCATATGCTCTACTCCAAACACCTTTTTTTTTTTTTTTTTAATAACCCATTGAGTCCTATTAGGACTGCTATATGCTCATGGGTGGGGCCCAACCCCAAAGAAAAATTGCTTGCCTTCCTTTAGCAGCCATCAACTGCCAGTAGGTCTTCAGCTAAGGGTAAGGCAAACACTTTACCCTTCCTAATAGTATGTTGATTAGTTTCATCTTGTGCAGGCAGCTGTAGCTGCTGTGAGTTCATGAGGACAACACTGTCTTGTCCAGGAAACACTGTTTCACAGTACAGTAGTCCTCCCCACCATGTAGCCATTAACAATCTTCCCTAAGCTGTTGCTGTGTGTGTGTGTGTGTGTGTGTGTGTGTGTGTGTGTGTTGTCCTATTTTTGGTTGAGCACTTAATTGTCACTTGTTCTCTGTACTTGGACCAGTTGTATGTCTGTAGTAACTAGCATCCACTGCAAACACAAGATTCTTTTTGAGGACTCATCTTTCTCATGCAACTGAAATCTTCCAGTCTCTCTCTCCTCTGTAGGTGAATTCAAAAGGCTATAAGGTATATGGAGCAGGGAGTAGTCTCTATGGAGGTACAATCACCATCAATGCCCGGAAGGTAAAGTCTGCCCTGCCAGGGATGTGGTGTTTCATTGGGAACAAGCCTTGTGCCTAGGAACTAGGATTGGTTCCCAGGCAACACAGTGGCATTTGCAAGAGGGGAACAGTGAACATGGGAAGCATGAGTTGGGATATTGAGGAGTCCTTTTTCTTCATTCTCATCTGCTGTTTTCCTGATCCTTACCAGTTTGAGGAAATGAATGCAGAGCTTGAGGAGAACAAAGAGTTGGCTCAGAACCGCCATTGTGAGCTAGAGAAACTTCGTCAAGACTTCGATGAGGTCACTACACAGAATGAAAAGTTGAAGGTAGGAGGCACAAGTCTGAAGAGCAAGAGAAAACAAGTGTTTTGTTCATCAGCATGTGAACTTGCATACTTTATGAGGGACAAGTAAAATATGGACAAAATCCAGCCTCTTCTATGATACAGCTCAACAAATTAGGTGTAGTGAAATATAACAAATGTAACAAAGCAAAGGCCATTTGTGACCCTCTCACTGCTTTCATGCCCTGTGAAGAGTGGCAATGGTTAGGATATCCACTCTTATCTTTCTGGTCAGTATCATACAAAAATTCAACCACAAAAAAAAAAGGATAGGAATGAGAAAAGGGCTCCAGACTGGAAAGGTTGGAGAGGAAGAAGCAAAGCTGTCTCTGCAGGTGTGATGATCTCACATACAGGGACTGTAGAGGACCTCGAGAACTAGAAATGAGTTCAGTTAAGTTGCAGATTGTAAAATCACCAACAATATACTTTATGGAAATGATCTCATTTTATAGTAGCATTAAAAATAGTACATTTAACCAAAGATGAGTTAACAAAGAAAATGTTTAGATGTACAATGGAATGTTTTTCATCCTTGAAAAAGGAAATTTAATTTGTGGTAGCATTGATAAACTTGGGGGACATTATGCTAAGTGAAATAAGGCAGACACAGGTGGACAAATATTACTTGAAGTATGGATGCCAAGAAAGTGGATCTCTTAAGAAGCAGAGAATAGAATGTGATAATGGGAGAGGACACTGGAGAGGTACTGATTAATTGGTCCAAAGTTTCAGTTGCATCTTGGGTAAACACTGGAGGCCTCATATATAGTATGGCGACTGGAATTTGATAATTCTGTATTGTGTTTTACAATATACTTGGAAAGCAGATCTTGAATGTTTTGAGTATATAAAGAGCTAACATGGTAACTGGCTTATTAATGGTAGTTATTTTATACAGAACTTCTATAAAAGACCACCATGTAGTATACCCTAACTCTGTGGTTTTAATTATTCATAGTAAAACCAGGGAGAAATGCAGCTCTTGTTGATGTGCTGTGTACTCACTGCTTTTGTACTTATTGTCTGTACAAGTTTTGTTCTGAGACAGACTTAGAGTAACCAGTAAAGATTCAAAGACTAAGTCAAGGTCCTCTGACTTAGAATTTGTTGAAAAAAATGAGCAGTAGAGTTATCAGGGTGAGTAGGTTAAGAATGAGTGTTTGTAAGATAAATGGCAGGAAAATGTGCATGCTGTTGGGGAGTGTTGCCCCAAAAACATGGTATTTGTTGCTAGAGATGGGTCATGGATTTGGCTCCAAAGATTCCTATAGATGCAGGGTTAGTGATCCATTGGTGTTCATTCCTGCCTATTAGAATTTTCCCTTGCAGAGTCTTAAGGGAACAAAGAAGATTCTTCTGGAAGTTTTCCTTATCCTTCTTTTATCCATAGTTTATCATTTATAGTTTATTTCTAAGTTAATAGATAATAAAGATATTTGAACTGAAAGTGAAAACTTCCTTGAATTTTTTTGGAAATTAAAGGAAATTATTGCTTACAAAATACATGACTGTTTTTACTTGCAGTCAGAAATATTTTCTCTGTGACATTTAATAAAGAACAGCTAGTGACTGGGGTCTTCAGTTGTGTTATAGAATGATTGTGTTGGTCAGGTCAATTTCATGCAACTCTTCCAGCAACTTTTCTAGTTTCTTTGGATTGGGGTTGAAACAATGTGAAACACATATCAGAATAGACCTGGGTGACCTAGTTTATGCAGGGACTGAGTTTTACTCAAGAGTGGTAGTATAGACTTCCTAATTTTCTGAGTAATGGTTTCAAGTGTATGGGGAAATTAGTGAGTTTAAGGTATTTTTCCCTTTGTGACTTGGGGAAGATGCTTGCTTTACTCTGATTTTGACATGCATTTTCCTTGGACCTTTCTAAGGTGGAATTGCGGAGTGCAGTGGAGGAAGTGGTTAAGGAAACTCCAGAATATCGCTGCATGCAGTCACAGTTCTCTGTCCTATACAATGAAAGTCTACAGTTGAAAGCCCATTTGGATGAGGCTCGGACTCTGCTTCATGGCACCCGGGGAACTCATCAGCGCCAGGTTGAGCTCATTGAGGTAACAGTGAGCTTTTCTTTGTTACTGTAGTGGGTATGGGACCCAGCACTCTACCACTGAGCCAGCCATTCCCTTTCCTGCTTTGTCTTCTCTATGTGATTCTATGCCAAATAAATGTTGTGGTGTTACTCCCAGGTATAGTTAATATCCCATTCATCCGGTGGGTATATAAGACAACAGAATTCCTGCTCTCATGGATCTTACAGGCCATTGGGAGAATGGAACTCATTAGGTAGCAGCATGATTCAGTGGTATTTATCTAAAGTTGTGGTGATGGAGGAGACAGAGCATCTGATTTGTCCGTGAAGTCTTTCTGACGAGGAAATGGATGATAAAGATCAAAAGTTTGTTGGTAGTGACCAGCCTTCATGAATTTGTGGCTATAGCTCATAGATATGGGGAGAACATTGTGACTTTGTGGCATTTAATGCACGTTAGGTAAATTAGTTTGAAGTTAGAACTTTGATTTTTATGTTTACTTTTGTGTCTTCTGTAGTCCTTATGGTAGTGTTTAATTAAAGTAGTTGGAATTTTCATGTATGTTGGTTAAAAAAATTGAATGGTAGTGTATGGTTTGTTCTCCAACTGAATTATAATCTCAGAACTAGATGCCATTTCCTTTATTTCTTGAGTGTTCTGTCAGGTTCTAAAGTCATGTTTCTAAATCACATCTGTGAGCATTCTTTCCTTAGCAGTTCTTTTTTTTTTCCAATCATTTTAGGTAGTTACAGGTTGAATTTAAGAGACAGAATAAAGTTATTGAATGTTTTATTGGTTCTTTATCTGCAGCGAGATGAGGTTAGTCTACATAAGAAGCTGAGAACTGAAGTGATCCAGCTGGAAGACACCTTGGCCCAGGTCCGCAAGGAGTATGAAATGCTGAGGATAGAGTTTGAGCAAACACTTGCTGCCAATGAACAAGCAGGTCAAATCACTCTTTCTCTACCCTGTGTTCTGTCTGTTGTAAATTCTTTCTTTGAAATAAAACGAGATATTTGGGCATTTGTTAATTCTAACTTAAACTTGGGATATGTGAAGTACCTAGAATTAAATCCTGTAATTCATTTTGACCCAAAGCCTGGGTGTTGGTTTTAATTCACTCAGGCAATTTCATTTTCACCTTCTGAAAAAGAGCATTTCTTTTGTTACCTGTTCTTACTATTCAGAAGTTCCTGGTTTGCTCTGAGCTTTCTCTCCTTGAGCCTTTGCCCTTTTCAAGGCTCTTCATATTGCTGCTGCTGTTTTTCAGGTCCCATAAACCGGGAGATGCGCCATCTCATTAGCAGCCTCCAGAATCACAACCACCAGCTGAAGGGGGAGGTCCTGAGGTATAAACGGAAACTGAGAGAGGCACAGTCCGACCTGAACAAGGTATTCTGGAACATCCCAAAAAGCATAGTTTGCCATGGTGATGGTAAGGGCATTATGAGCGAGGGAAGCAGTATGCTCCACAGAGGTGATGTGTGTCTTTCCTTGCTTTGTCTCCTAGACTCGTCTGCGCAGTGGCAGTGCCCTCCTGCAGTCTCAGTCTAGTACTGAGGACCCCAAGGATGAACCCACAGAACTAAAACAAGATTCTGAGGATCTATCCACTCATTCTTCAGCATCGAAGGCATCTCAGGAGGATGCCAGTGAAGTTAAGTCCAAACGGGATGAAGAAGAGAGAGAACGAGAAAGGAGGGAGAAAGAAAGAGAGCGAGAACGAGAACGAGAAAAGGAAAAGGAGAGAGAACGAGAGAAACAGAAACTGAAAGAGTCAGAAAAAGAGAGAGATTCTGCTAAGGATAAGGAGAAAGGGAAGCATGATGATGGAAGGAAAAAGGAAGCAGAAGTTATCAAACAGCTGAAGATTGAGCTCAAGTAAGCTGTGTTTATAGTGATTCAGAGCCTGAACCTAAGAATGAAATGTTTGTTTTATAGTATGGCTTATGCAACCATTATGTAGTATTTTAGATGTACTTAATGTACAATTAACATGGTTTCAACTTTCAATTGGATATGTAGCCAGATGGCCTACCTGGCTATTGTATAGTGTTGCTGAGTAGTTAGGAACCAGTCTGTTCTTGGTTGAAACATTTACTTCTCATGAGTTCATATAAAGAGAACAGATACCACATTGAAGTAGCACACCAGAGAATACTGGAAATTGACAATTGCTTTTAGAGTTGGGTAATTTGTTGGCATTACTTGTATTTTAAATTATTCTACATCTCTAGTTAATTGTAGTTGACTGGTTTGGAGGTATGCAGCCCAAACTAAGAATTCCTTAAGCGCTTCCCTAAGTGCTTAAGACAGGAGGGTAGTTTTACTCAGTGCAACATTACCTGTGTTCTCCTGCGTAAACAATAATGTCTGGTTGGACTGGCTTTTCTGACTCTATTTTTCATGCTTTACACTTTGAATTTAAGGGTTTGGTGTGCTTAAAGTACTTGAGCTCACTGTAGTTCAGCTTAGGAATTTAGTAAGAGATGAAGTGTTACAACTTACAACTGCTATTTGCCAATCCTAGGATTAGCAGTTTATTTTAAACTTTCAAAATTTTGTCCTTTTTGATTTTTTTTAAAGTAAACTCATTTCCCCCTATTTTTTAAAAAAATCATTCGAATGATTTGACTAAATAGATCCCAGATCTGTCTACAAACTCTCAGTTTCTGAGTGGCACCACTTAAATGTGCCTAAGTCACAAGTGCCACAGTTACATAGTTTATAACTTTATGTTGCAGAATTGAACAGAGAGATGATTCATATGTATGGATTTCTGTGCTCTCCAAGTACATTCCAGAAGTCTATTAGTAACCTATGAAAATGTGGCTTTCCCGATGACTTAGAGTAGAAAACTGTTATAAAATGTTACGTTCCATCCCCAGTGCTCTTGCTCTGATGTCTTTTGTTTTCTCACTGTTGTTCCTTTCCCTCTACCACCTTGTCATAGGAAAGCACAAGAGAGCCAGAAGGAGATGAAACTGCTGCTAGATATGTATCGATCTGCCCCCAAGGAGCAGAGAGACAAAGTACAGCTAATGGCAGCCGAGAAGAAGTCAAAGGCTGAGGTAACTGAGCTTTCTGTCATCTGTCATTCTGGTGACAATCTTCATATGTGGAGTTGTCTTTGTACTTTCATCTTTAATGCTAGTGTTCAACGTAGCAACTTTGTCCACCTTTTCAAAGACTGTCTGTGGATATGGTGGTACACACCTTTAATCAGCACTCAAAAAGGCGAAGCAAGCTGACCTCTTAGTTCAAGGCCAGCCTGGTTTATAGAGTGAGTTCCAGGACAGCTAGGGGCACACAGAGAAACCCTGTCTAAAAAATGAAAAAAAAAAAACAAAACAAAAAAAACCCCAAAAAAAACAACAACAATAAAAAGACTGTCTAAAATCAGGCTTTTAAAATTCTCTGCAAGATAATAAAATATGTCAAAATTATAAGAACTTGGAGTAGGCTTTTAAAATTTTTCATTCCTTAATTGGTCCTGAGAAATTATTACCAATTTATCTTTCTTATTACTATAGTAGTTCTCTTTTTCTGGTTGCATTTGAGAGGAATTTTTTTATTTTAATTACTTTGTGTGTTAGGGTATTTTTCTTTCCTATATGTCTGTGCATCACATGTGTGCCTGGCCAGAAGAGGGCACCTAGAGCTGGAGTTAAAGATCGTTTCCGGGAATTAAATCTGGATCCTCAAGAGGATCAGTCAGTTTTCTTAACTACTCAGCCATCCCATCAGCCCTGAGAGAAATGGTTTTTGTTTGTTTGTTTTTGGCTTTTTGAGACAGGGTCTTTATGTAGTCCTGGCTATCCTAGAACTTGTGATATAAGCCAGGCTGGCCGCAAACTCTCAGGGATCCACCTGACTCTTCCTCCCAAGTGCTGGGATTAAAGACTTGTACTTCCATCTCCATCCCAAGAGAAATGTTTTTATTCTTGAAAACTTGAGGCCTAAGGAGAAGACCGTGTGAATACTTGCTAAGAAAACTATGTGTAATAGGCAGTACTTCTGCCTATAGATACAGGAAATGTAGGAACAATGTTGAGTAGTGTGCTACATTGAGTCATTCTCAGTTTATCATTTATCCTGTTCCATAGTTCTTTAGTGTGTGGTTATGTGGGCCTTCCATGTGTGCATAATGTTGATATTTGGAAGTGTTTGATGGCTTCTCTTAGTTTTTTACATGATCTTTTCCTCCTGCAGTTGGAAGATCTCAGGCAAAGACTCAAGGATCTGGAGGATAAGGAGAAGAAAGAGAACAAGAAAATGGCTGATGAGGATGCCTTGAGGAAGATCCGTGCAGTAGAGGAGCAGATTGAATACCTACAGAAGAAGCTGGCCATGGCCAAGCAGGTGGGCACTACTTTATCAACATTTTAAGTAGAAATCTGAAAGATAAGTTACTGCCAGTGAAGTTTGACTTTAATCCTACTCGTCTCTGTTGTTAATTTTTATCATTTTCTTTGTTGCTATATTGAAGTTCATGTCTGTCATCCCTCCCTTATATTGTTTTGTGTATCTGATGGCAGAGAATTTATTTTTACCTTCAGTGGACTAGCTGTTGTTTCAGACATTGTTTACTGAGGATCTCTCCTTTCTCTGTTGACTGGGAGCGAAGGGAATAGTGATTAGAAAATGCAAGTTTTTATACTTTATGATTAATGCAGGCGAACAGAGGGAAGTTCTGTTTTTCTCTGCTCATCTTTGGCATTGGCAAATTTTCTAATTGATCTCATTTTAGGAGGAAGAAGCTCTCCTCTCTGAGATGGATGTCACAGGACAGGCCTTTGAGGACATGCAGGAGCAAAACATCCGTTTGATGCAGCAGTTGCGGGAGAAGGATGACGCAAATTTCAAGCTAATGTCAGAGCGAATCAAGTCCAATCAGATCCATAAGTTGCTTAAGGAGGAAAAGGAGGAGCTGGCTGATCAGGTTTTGACACTGAAGACTCAGGTAATTGGGATGAGTGGAGTTCTCCTTTCTGTTGAAGTAGGTAGGGATCTGTCTGCATGAAAGCTGATCAACGTGGTTTCTTTTTGTGTGTGTGTGATAGAAATGCTGCAAGCTAAAGTGTGTGTTAGAGTCTTACATGGTGTTTGTTTCTGACTTGGTTGCTTCTGGTTTTTGGGGTGAGAGTTTCTGAGTGAGAGGCCAGAAGTGGATGTATGATTTTACTTTAAACCTGTTGGGATTGTTTAATTCTGCTTTGTGGATTGATTTCAAGAAAAAGCCTACTTCAGAACTTCTAGCTGTTCTGAAAGAAATGGAGTTAAATTTGATTTGAGTCAACTGTTTATGTTCTGGTTGGAGTGGCCATGTTTTGAGGAGTAGAGCTACAGAAGATGAATATCTGTAAATATAATTTTCTACTCTTTGCAATTTAGGTTCCCAAACCCTGAATATTCATGAATTATTTTATGTGAAAAATCGAAGCCTTCAGTAATCATAATCTTGGATATATTTTGAAAAGTTCATGGGAAAAGTCAACAGTAGCTTGACATTTTTGACTGTTGTAATTTTTGAGGATATATGGGTAAATAGAATATAAACAATTTTATTTTCCTACCTGTTTACATTAAAATCTGAGTTTTCTCCTGCATAGGTGGATGCCCAGCTACAGGTAGTAAGAAAACTGGAAGAGAAGGAACACCTGCTTCAGAGTAACATTGGCACAGGGGAGAAGGAGCTGGGCCTTAGGACTCAGGCCTTGGAGATGAATAAGCGTAAGGTATGCTGGCCTCTGTAACCTGCCGTGATGGGTGGACTCCAGAGGCATTAAAGCAGAACCTGCCTGGAGTGTTTAGTTCATTCTGGATGTCATTCCCCTCCCTAGAAGAAGGGATGATAAGAGGATGTTTCTGCATTCTACATAGGCAATGGAGGCAGCCCAGCTTGCAGATGACCTCAAAGCACAGCTGGAACTGGCTCAGAAGAAGCTCCATGACTTTCAGGATGAAATCGTGGAGAACAGTGTCACCAAAGAAAAGGACTTGTTCAATTTCAAACGAGCACAGGCAAGACCAGTTGTCTTTGATTATTTTTACATTTTCAGTGCTTTTTGAGGATTGTGGTAAGTGTTGTACACCATGAACTGCTAGACTGAAGGGTCTTGTGGAAAGGGACTGGCATTGTCTACTTCATGCCATGCTCTCTAGTTGTGAAACAAATGGCTACAAAATCTGTAAAGTGGTAAATTGTTAAGTAGTAATACAACTTCAGTAGAAGGTTAAAATCACATTGCTGTTTTTCTCATTTTTCTCATGACAGCTATTTCTTATGATGGCTTCTGTCCTGTTTCCATAGGTCTGTAAATTATTTAATCCAGGTCTACCCTCACCATAAAATAGTTAGTTACCACAAAAAGGCAGCCTGCTCTCTTGAGTTTGGGTTGTGTTTTTACCTGACTGAAAGTGCTCTCACTAGTGCAGCTCTACATTGGGGATCGATGATAGGTGATGTCCTTCTGTATACATGTTTCTCTTATTGGTTGATGAATAAAACACTGTTGGCCAATAAGGCACGAAGATAGGCAGGACTAGGAGATGAGAATTCTGAGAAAGGTAGGCAGAAGGTGTCGCATTGCTGCCGAAGGAGTAACAACATGCTGGGGTATTACTGGGTAACCCACAGCTTCATGGTAGTACATAGATTGATAGAAATAGGTTAATAATGTGTTTATTTGGGGCTAAAGGGTGGTGGGCTAGCAGGAAAGAACCTCTGCAACAGATAGGATTAGGGTTGCCTGTTCTGAGTCAAGTGTCTTGTAAACAGGCCTTTGCAAGTTCCTACATTCCAAAGATAATTGGACATGAAAGGACAGAAAGTTCTTTGTTTCAACAACAGAAAGGTCAAGTTGGAGGAATTATTTCTGTCAAAAATGGCAGGTGAGAAATGTATCTATTGTGTTTACTGTCTTGTTGCAGGAGGACATCTCTAGGCTTCGAAGGAAGCTGGAGACCACCAAGAAGCCAGACAATGTGCCCAAGTGTGATGAGATTCTGATGGAGGAGATAAAGGACTACAAGGTTAGAAAAAGTGACTCAGTGGTATCTTTGTGTTTGTCAGGGCCTGTAATCATCTACTGTCTACTAATGCACTGTGACAGTAGACCCTGACTTTACACAAACGCAAAGGGAGTCTACTGGAGCCCTGAGAATAGACACTGACCTTCACATGAAGGCAAGTGGAGAATGGTTTATTTTTTAGGGAAAACAGTGCTCTTTTCCTAGAGCTCAGTGGCTTCTTTTATTTACTTATATATCATAGCCCTTTGGGTTGTAAGCTCTGTGGTTATTCAGACTCTTATTTTCTCATTTTTAGGCTCGCCTGACCTGCCCCTGCTGTAACATGCGTAAAAAGGATGCAGTGCTTACCAAGTGTTTCCATGTTTTCTGCTTTGAGTGTGTGAAGACTCGCTATGACACTCGCCAGCGCAAGTGTCCCAAGTGTAATGCTGCTTTTGGTGCCAATGATTTCCATCGCATCTACATTGGCTGATCACAGTCAAGAAAGAGGAGCTGGCTAGGCAAGCACTTACTCATTAATCACCAGGCCTCTACCTCTTCTCTCCTTGACAGTTGGCCAACTCCTTTGTTCCCCAGACTTTGTCCAGGCTCCCCTCTCCTGTAGCTAGAGAACATTAGTAAAAAAGACCTCAAGTCCTGAGTTTTAGAATGAACTACAAGTTACTACTGTTTGTCTTCCCTACCAGCTTTGTTTGTGTATTGCTTTCAGATTTTTCAGCATTTTCCTCTTGGATCTAGCCTTCTAGAGAAGTCAGACTGATAGTTTTGACATTGAGAGGGGAATACAGGTGGAGCAAACATAAGCTATTCTAGAGGAGAGAACTTTTAAGAAATAAGCTTTCTGTGGGCCCAAACTTCTTGATTTGGGAAGTAAACCTTTCCTTAGGTTATAAAATGGTATAATTGTGATAGTCTCTCCTGTAAGATTTGAAGCCTTAATGAAATTGTATCCAGGATAATTCAGTCCATTTCTTACTTCTATCTAAGCGACTTTTAGGGGCACTTGGATTTCTTGCTAATGTTATTTATGTTTTAAATATTCAGATACTTAGTAGCCTTTTAGTTTCTTAAGGCCAGAATAATTTCAAACAGCATAACCACTATGTTTTATTTTTTTTACTGAAGTCAGAATTAGAATTTAAGTGTCTGGAATGAGATTGAAGAGATCTGGGTAGTCTGGGAATGTGACCCAGGAAGCTATTGTCAGCTATGAATTACTCTTACCCTCTTGAGAGGAATTGCATGGTCCCTGTTTTCCAGAAGATTCTTAGTAATGTTTCTGTGGGATTTGAAAATATGCCACATACTTCAAGTAAAGCAGGATTCAGTTTGTTTTTGTGTTTGTGGTTTTTGTTGTTGTTGTTACAAATGGTTGATTTTATTATGCCTGCTATTCCAAAACTGATTTTTTTAAGATAGTGTCTCTTGCTGTGTAACCGACGCTGGCCTTGAATCATGACAATTCCCTTTACTCAGTCTTGCTGGAGCTAAGATTGGGGATCTGTGCCACCATGCCCCAGTGAAATGATTCTTTTGAATAGAATTAAAATGGACTGGCTGTGTTGCCAGTATTTCCTTTTCTTTTTTATTATTAATTGGGAGAGCTATTAATTCTCCCTTCCCAGTTGTTTTGAGTCCATACTGACTGCCTAAAGGGAGAGTATTGTTTTATCTTCAGCTCAATGGCTGTGCCTTAATCTGCTATTTGAGCCAGCAACTGTGACTCTACAGTGGCGTGGCCACTCAGGTCACAGTCTGACAGGAGTTCTGTTCCCACAGGCACCTGATCTGTCATTGCCACTAAAGATAGCTTTAGCTAAATCACTATTGTTCTATTTATAAATAAGACTCGAGGTTCAAAATCTGGGGTAAAACTTGCCAGCTCAGAGGGGCTGAGTAGCAACTAGCTAACCTCTCCTTTTTGGCATTTCCTGAAAGGGCCCATCCTTCCCACTCAGCAAAAAACAAAAGATGTACCACTCAAAACTCCTCCCTACTACCTCCAGTGCAAATATCTCTTCCAGATGCTCTCTGATTACTTTCTGTCAACCAGTTGCTAATTTAGCCTTCTGACCCATGCTTAATTTTATTTAATTAGTGCAAATGCTAACTTGGGGTTCACAGTGTGATTGAATGTCCCCCAACAGGAGAGGCTGCTTAGGTCTCTTCCATCTCACTGTGGAGGTAAGAGGTAGTTACCTTAGTGACTGGTGGGCCTTGGGGTGAGAACTTTGAGGTTTTTGTTTTGTTTTGTTTTGTTCTTTTTTTTTTTTGTTTTTTCGAGACGGTTTCTCTGTGTAGCTTTGGAGCCTATCCTGACACTCGCTCTGGAGACCAGGCTGGCCTCGAACTCACAGAGATCCGCCTGCCTCTGCCTCTGGTGTACTGGGATTAAAGGCGTGCGCCACCAACACGGCAAAATTTGAATTTTTTAGAAACTTAACAGAGTAGTTTTCTCTGTCTGATCCCTCCTGATCAGTACCTAGCCTAGCCAATGGTCAAGGCCATGTTCCCTGTCTCTTCACTGGCTGTCATCATTGGGCCTTGTGATGAATCCCACCTTTACATGATAGGGACGAAAGAATGGAATGTAGTTGTGTGGGGTTCACTTGGTTCTCAAGAGAGGCCATTGGTCTGTTGATTCTGCTGCCAAACATATATACATGTGTGTTTATGTACACACAGCATATTGGGATTAGGTCCTGCTCCTAGATGTGACCATTGCATTTACCACCAGGACATGCTCCTCTTGCTGCTGGTAATTACAGGGCAAGCTTGAGCATAATGAGGAACCAGTTGGACTGCTTGGGCAGTGGGTGGCTTCTATTCATATCAAGTGGCTTAGACATCCAGTTGCTTGATACCAGGAGAGCATTGGCCTGTGGGGTGAAATAGAGGGAAGCATTCATTCCCAAGAATGCTAGGTTAAGAAGAAGCTCCCCTAAGTGAGAAATTGAGGTCCAGGCAACACAAGGTGAGTTCTCAAGGTCATTTTTAGGAAATGTTCAAAAGTAGTGATTTTTTTTTTTTTTTCCCAACAAACTTTCTTTCCTTGTATGGGAGGTTGTAAATATGTTTCTGGAATACATCTGAAATTTCATGTCACATTTTGTTTTGGTTTTAAGTACATGACTTAACAGCTCTTCAGATCCTCAGAGGAATTTTCAAAACTTGACATTCCCCTAAAGTTAGAAATAACAGCTCTAGATCCATAGAAACATTACAAGGTAATTTCTTTATGGCAAAGTTCCCCAATTTAAAGTAGAAAGTGCCGGGGCGTTGGTGGCACACGCCTTTAATCCTAGCACTCGGGAGGCAGAGGCAGGTGGATCTCTGTGAGTTCGAGGCCAGCCTAGTCTCCAGATCAAGTGCCAGAATAGGCTCCAAAGCTACACAGAGAAACCCTGTATCAAAAAACCAAAAA